TTGGAAGCCGTGGCCTTTTCTGCCTTATTGGGGGGGGGGGGTTTTGTCTCTAACGTATGTAAGAATTCTAATGGTTTGTGCAGGTGGCTGGGGCTCTGGGATGGTCCAATTGTGGACTGTCAGCTGGAATCCAAGTTAACCCAGGGCAACAAGTCAACGTAGCGTAATGTATATCCCATACCTCATGACTCACATGTTTCCATTAGACGCCTTCCATTTTTTAGGCTCAGGAAACATATTGTACAGACACTGACTGGCAAGAAGAGGTAGTCGACGGCTGCTTTGAGCCCAAGCTTTGTTTTCTCCAGCAAAAAGTCCGAAAGGATTCTGGACAGCATCTTGGATGTTGCAAAGAGAAGTTGACTGGGATGGATGTTAGATGTCCCAGCTGCCCCTGCCAGCACACAATTAGTTCTGATGCCTGGACCCTGGGAAGCTTGCCTGCAGTTTCCAGTGTGGCAGATAACCAGCTACGGAGAGATGATTGTACAAAGCCCAGAAACAGTGAGGACAGAATTATAGGTTCCTTCAGTGTGGTTTTGATGAGATTCAGCTGGATGCATCAACAGCCTCCATCATTCTGCATTGTTCTTGAGTTGAATCAGAATCATAGAGTTGGAAGGGATCTCCAGGGTCATCTAATCCAGGGTCATGAAGTGCCTTAGCTCGTCAGGAGAGCCAGTTTGGTGTAGTGGTTCAGTGTGCGGACTCTGATCTGGGAGAACCGGGTTTGATTCTCTGCTCCTCCACTTGCAGCTGCTGGATGACCTTGGGCAAGCCATAGTTCTGTCAGAGCTGTTCTTGAAAGAGCAGTTCTTGAAAGAGCTCTCTCACCCCCCCGCCTACCTCTCAGGGTGTCTGTTGTGGGAAGGGGAAGGGAAAGGAGTTTGTAAGCCACTCTGAGTGAAGAGTGGGATATAAATCCAATCTCCTCCTCCTCCTTCTGGCTTTCGGGGAGTGGGTCTTCACCCACCCATCATGGGCTTTGTGGCGCTGAAGGTCCCAGATTCAGCTCCTGCCATCCTCTGCTAAAAGGATCCCACGTAGCAAGGTTGAGAGAGGCATCCACCTGACAGGTGCTCTCTTAAGTCTCTTAAGGCTAGATGGACCAGTAGTCAGAGACAGCATTCAAAATGCCACAACAAGCCAGGATGAGCATTAAAAAAACCCTCCTTTTCTGTTAGTGGAAATTTACCACGGGATCCAAGCCATGATAAACAATCCCAGATCAGTGTTGAAGTCCATCTGAGCCAAAGTGAAAGCCATCGCTGTTTCTTGTATCATTACTGCACTGTTCATATTATTAAATCAGGATCATGATAGTGAGAAATAACAGCAGTCCAATTTGGGGGGAGGCTCTGTTCCTAAATCCATCCAGGCGCCCTTCCCATCACGCTGGGAGGGGCCACATCTTAGTGGCAGAATGCTTGCTTTGCACACAGATGGTCTCTGGTTGAATCCACAACACAACCAGTTGAAGGGATCTTGGGTAGTAGGACTGGGAAAAACCACTAGAGGCTGCTGCTGGTCATAGTCGACCGCCAGGTGAGATGGACCAGTGGTAGGACTCCGTGCAATGTAGTTTCACTGGTTCGCGGTCTTTGTACCAAACGAGGCCTTATAAAGCCCTCTCTATATGTGGCTTCCCAGATGATGTTGGGAGCCCTTCTTTTTGCCTTAAAAGATCACAGAATCATAGAATGTTACAGTTGGAAGGGACCTTGCAGGTCATCTAGTCGAACCCCCTGCACTCTGCAGGAGTATACTGAAAGATAGCCCTACATACCTACAACATACCAGATAGATGGTTGTCCAGCCTCCACTTGAAAATATCCAGCGAAGGAGCATCCACCACCTCCCGAGGCAGACAGCATGAATACAGTGAAAAGGGGGAGGCAAACCCAGTTGCACCCAGGAGAGCCCTGGCATGATGAGCCCAACAAACCACTCTCTCTCTCTCTCTCTCTCTCTCTCTCTCTCTCTCTCTCTCTCTCTCTCTGTGTAGCAAGGCAAAAAGCTCATACTGTGAATAAAACTGTTAATCTTAAAGGTGCTTTGTATATCTCCCGTGCAATTGAGGGAACTGGGTAAAGTAAGCTCTCACTTTTTCCCTCCTTCCCCCTCTCTTCCTCCCCAGGGGATGAGAAGGAGCCTCAGCCAATGGAGGGAAAAGAGGCTTTGCTCTGTAGCACCTGTGTGGTTTAGAGAGTCTGGCAAAGCAAGCTGTGAGGCAGAAGGAAGCAGGAGAGAAGGAAAAGGAAACAGATGAGAGCCAGTTGCTTGCAGGCCAGATACGAGCCCTGTGGGGGCCAGATCCAGCCCACAGGCCGCATGTTTGACACCCCTGTTTTAGAGTGTTTATTGGATTTATGCAGTAGTTGATTTATTGCAGTGTCTTTTTTATCTTTTCATCTGCACATACCTCAAGCCTGCTTTGGGGAGAGGCCATGGCTCAGTGATAGAGAATCTGCTTTGCATGTAGAAGGTCCCAGGTTCAGTGCCCTGCGACTCCCATTCAAGAGGATGAGGTATTAGCTGATGTGAAGAGCTCTGCTTGAGACCCCAGAGAGCAGCTGCCAGTCAGAATAGACAGTATTAACCCAGATAGATCAGAGGTCTGGCTCTGTATAAGGCAGGTTCATGCATGCCATTTGGAGTGCACAGATTTGCCGTCTTGCTTGTAGTGCAATGGAGTTGCTCAGAAAGAAAACAAAGAAAGTGTGCAGGGTTGTTTGAACAGACCCTGATGAAGAGCATCATTTCATGTGAAAAAGGAGCACCACAGGAGTTCGCCAACACACATTTCGGCCTTTCAGCCACCTGGCCTCGCAGGGCAGAGGGCAGGAAGGGAGAGCCAGAGAACCCCGTTGATATCTGCACATAAAACAACGAGGCGGAAATCTCGGCAGCAAGCCACTCTCAGCCCCGGGCCACTGAGGAGTGTGATCTTCAGTGTGGGAAACTGACCACCCACTGAGAGGTGCCGAGATGGGGACAGGCTTCAGGGCAGTTTGGCAAGAGTGCGCAAAAGGTTTGGAGGGGGGTGAGATAGAGCTATTGTGTATATATGTGTGTGAGTGAGAGAGGATTTTATAGTAAAAGTTCAGGAGATGGTTCATGACATTGTCAAATATCCTTGCAAATGGGAAAGATTATCCTGCGCGGCTCTGCAGGAGCCAAGCCCTGCCCGCTCCTCTGATTCTCTATCAAATGAGGAAGCTTGAGTGTATGTGTTTCTAAGCAGGAAAAAGGAGCAAGAGCTCAAG